AAAAATAAAGGGAACTATTTTACATTTAAAAGGTTTTTAACTACTGTGGTTATTCTGTATGGTCTGTTAGAAAGACTAATGTCTTTCTGTGTTCTCCAGCTATCTACTTTCAAATGGAGTTTTTTGGGGTCTGGCTTCCTCCCAAGCGTGACTCTTTTACAGATGTGCCTTCAACATAGAGGTGTTCAATGCTCACTTAGCTTATAAAGCTAAAGAAACATAAAATCTTCATTTATAAAACAATTCTGGAAGTCCTATCTTTAGCAAAAAATCCCGGATCTCTCTAATTAAGCAGAGGGCAAAAAATTGGCTGCATGATTTTCAACCATTTTTCAGACAGTATGGAAAAAAATACACTTAAATTTTTGAAGAGCTAGTATTTAGATTCTGCTGGAAACCCCTCTATACAACAGACTAACAGCTGTTTTTAGCACATTCTGCACACCTATCTCTATTGTTGAAGTCTAAATAAACACCCTTGATTGTTGGAGGTATTTTTTGTTTGAAAGCCATTGTAATACTCCTTTGAAGAGTTCAGCCACATAATACAGCACAACTTTTTTCAAAAGAATAATGGTAAATCAATTCAATTGGGCAGTTCAAAATCTGAATGCTACTATTAACTGCTGGCATTTCCCTGTGGTCTGGTGTACAATTGCTCTGGCACATGAGAGAGCTCTAACCTGCACGTGCCACATTGTGCACCATGTGTTTCTTATCAAGGTCATCAAATGAGCCAACTGCAGAAAGTGCATCCAGCACTTTTTCCCAGTGATTTGATCTTCAGATGTTTTGTCTGCAGTCTAAGCCTGTTATGATTCCTATTATTAACATCGTTTGCTGTGAAAGGCAGTCAAATTCTACCAAATCTGTAACATCTTGTGTGAAGGGCAGCAAACTAAATCAGCAAAATCTTGTAATTATAAAGTCCTGCAGGTATTATGTATACAAAAATGGATATTTGCGATGTGTTTGTGAGAGTCCCTCTGGGCATATAGGTGACCTTTTTAATGACTGGTTTAATTCTGATTTAATTCTGGTTGCAAATCAAACAATCTGATGTCCAGGAGAGAACAGATGTGACCTTCTGAGCTTTGGCCCGGGATTCCCTGTGTAAACTTGTTCCACTCCACCCAAGCAGGAGAGGTTGTCTCCTGTGTTTGTACAGTACAGATGCAGGGTTGGGGAAATTACAACTAGCACTTTGAGTTGTTGCTGAAATGACAACAAAATTTCAGAAAGGAGGAGGCATTAATTATCACAGGTGGGAATAATAATAGCAACAGCCCAAACCAATGACCAGTGGAAGCTGATTACACAATTTTTAAATTCTGTTGTGAAAGCTTTTCTGGATCAGAGCCCTATGCCAGTTTCTGTAAGCCTTTCTGCTCCTCTCCCACTACTGAATCTTTTATTCTTCACTCCGAAAGAGTATTTTCCTGGGATTCATATTATTTTGCTTTCATTGGGGTCTTTAAATATTTCATTCTTTCCTGCATGGCCACCATAGAAAACTACAATGTAGCAGCCTAAAAAATTCAATCCCGGATTCAATTGAACTTAGTTATAATGTCCTCTGACTGCTTATGGATACAAAATGGAACATCATGAAACAAAATGAAGGTCTTAATTGCTAGTAACATTTCAACAGTGTCTGTGGCAAAGGGGAGAGACAAATTAATTCTCCAGTAGTGTGAAACTCCAAAATACTAAGCCAGACGAACTTTCTTATTAGAAAATGTTAATATGTCTGCCTTAGCTCTGGAGGGAGACATGAGGTGAAAAAGCTCTATTCTACAGGAATGCTACTTTTTCTTTCAAGACATAGTGTTTATTCCTTAGGGAAATTACATTTATAAATACAGTCAAACTCATTTCCCAGAGAAAAATAAATACACAGAAGACAGCAACACAGCTTTTAACTTGCTTGAACTTCCAAATGGCCTATTTCTTTGAAAACACAGACACTCAGGCATCAATCTGTTGTTGTCATACCAATTACCAGGAGACAGCTGCAGTATAGAGGTTGTTAGAAAACTACTGAGCATGATGGTATGAATCTATGTTCTCACCTGCATTATCACATCTGCGTTTCTGCGAAGGAAGGACACACGTACAGCTACCCTCAGACTTCAACAGCATAACCCTGATATGACCCTCTCCACCAAGGTCATCTCCTAATCATAACGCAGCTGTGCTGCTAGCTCCCATAGTAGCTATCTGCCTGGCCTAGTCCAGAGGGGAGAGACTCCAATTCAAGCTCTCCTGATAAGGGAGATGCTCTCTAATCTCCTGATAAGAAAGCATTTGCTCTCCTGAGCAAATCTGTGCATGTCCAGGTTTAAAGCATGTAGACAGAAAAGCCTGAAACCTAATGAACCTGATTCAGACACAGCAAAGAGCCCGAGTGTTCTTGCCTTTTCCCACAAAACCTTTTCTTCTCTCCATGCTTGGTTTCTCCATATCTCTTGCCTATGCAACAGTCTTAGTTGTCACCAGGCAGGTCAACGGAGCTGTAACCCATGCCTGATGTTATTCACTCCTAAACTGCTCCTTAGCTGGACCTTCTCTAGTGCTCTTTTCCATGCTAGCTCAGCAGACATTATCAGAAGTGTCAGGTAGCCAGCAGCTCTCACTTCTCAACTGTGAAGCCAACAAATGCCCCGACTGAACACCTTGAATTCAAAATCCTCTGTTGAAAAACATTGGCTTTAGTAAGTCATCAAAGATTAGTAGAAAAGGAGGTGCAATTCTCAGAAGTGGGGTAAGGGAATAAGCAAGCACTTACAGAGATGCTAAATACTAACACACACATCTCCCTCTTCTAATTCAAAGGGCAAGCACAGAGCCTTTGAGAAACAGGCAGGTAAAGGAAACTGCTCAACTGTAAATAGTTTAGAAAGCAGGTGTCTGGGCAATGTGGTTAGTTAAATCTTCTAGATCTGGAGCTGCTCCCACACAAGCCCAATGCCTTCCCCTGCAACTTAGTCCAGCAGCTAATTCCATTTAATCAGGAGGTGAGAACAATCCTATAACAATACCCAAATAATCAGGATTACAGTTTTGCAATAATCTGGCGTCTGGCTCTGCTACAGTGAGGAGGGTGTGGGGACTAAGTAGATGGTAGGGGTATCTGTTGGGACTGGAACTGCAGAGAAAAAATTTTAAGCAAGCAATTTCCTTCTTTCTGCAGATGGCTATCTTAGATTCCTGGTTTTTACCTGACATAAACAAGAAACACCTGGCACAGGTGGACAGGATAAAAAAACAATGGAGACTTTGCTATGAATCCTAATGACTGAGCCTTGGTATGCTTTGCAGAGAACTAATGGCCCCTTTGGAGGGGTCAGCCTCTTCCCTACACGCTTGGTGTTCACCCTGTGTCTCTTGAGATCTCTCAGCTCTGTCAGCTTGCCTGGTCTACAGCTTTCACAGTCTATCATCTGCGTTTCCCAGTAGTGCTTTCCACAGTCTTTGCTTCCTGATGGCATTTTTTGAATGTATGCCAGTTCAGCTGTCAGGCCATCAAACAAGGTTCCTCAACAGTGAGAATTTGTTGCACACTGTATTTCCAGCCAAGAGAGTAAGAGACTATGAGAGAGCAAGGGCTGACTTGCAGGGTCTGTGAGCAGGTTTAACATGAGCCATTGTGTCTAGGCTCCTCAAAAAAACATATGAAACAGTGAAATTGTCCATGGGGGTATTGCTGCTGCCTAACCTGTCCATATAGACATCTGAAGCAAGTTTACCCAGATTTGTGCCCTCGGGTCTTGCTTAAGTGTGGGTTCATCCAGAATTCACATGCTCTGCTGTCTTGAAAGTAGGATGATTTTAAATGATACAGCACTTTAATAAATAATTTTTACTGTGCTTAATTGCTACTGGATTTTTTTCCACTCGCATTGAGGCTGGAGTTTATTTTTGGAGAGGCTAAATTAGAAAGCAGTTCTGTACTCAGGCTGACATTGGTAATCATGTGACTTTCAACATCATGTCAGGATAGTTGTCTAACATGAAAAATGTGATGAATAAGATACCAGAGGATGCTGTAGAAGCAGACTTCCATGAAACCAGGGTGGGTAGGTAGTTGACTGTGACTATTTGTATCTGCTTCTGCTTTCATTCCTTTTTTTTTTTTTCCTTTGTAAATACAAAGCATATTTTGCTTATTATAAAATCTATTCTTCGGAAAAAGAGAGAGAAAAAAGTGTCATTTTCTTTGAACTTGAAAATCTAAAGGAAACACATTCCTCATGAAAGCCAGCTGGTGTTCACACCAGACCTCACTGGGTTAGCAGAGTCTGCTCCTGTAGAGAAAAGAGGGTCTGCGTGCTAATACACCGAAAATTGATCAGATGGCAGCAGACAAAATTATTTTTCCACACAGGCAAGTGGATGTGGCTGCAGCAGAAGGCAGATTTCCAAGCCAGGGAAGTCCAGGGGTCTCCTCAGTACAGTCAGACTGAGCCCAACAGCGTTGCCTTTCTATTTCTACTGCTGGTGCAGTAGCATTGAGGTCCAAAGAAGCTTGGGTTCAGTACTCAACACCTTCACTACATTGAAGTATTGGGGTTCCTGACCTTCCAGCAACTCAAGCAACTAGATCATATCTGGAACAGTTGCAAGACAGAAGTAAACTGGCTTCATCTCCTGTCTTTGTTTTGGGAGACTACAGCTCTGCCACGAACTGCAGTGAGAGCCTCTGTAAGTGAACAAAACTGACAAACTGCCCCATAGGGACCAGTAAGTGTTTGTGTAGTGCTTTGAAATGTCACATTTTATCAGTACTGGTGTCTGCTGCATAAGAAATCAAAGGTGCTGCCCACGGGGTTAGCACGTACAGAGCGGGTGCTGACCAAAATTACTCTGCCATGACTCAACCACCTCATTGTAAGTTTAAATAGAAAACCAAAAAAACAGATACTGCTTTAACGGAAAACCAAATTTAGTATGTTTCTTCTTTCCCTCCAATAGCAAGCATAAGTGTCAAACATATTGTCTTTCAGTGACTCTTCAGATTAGTGGAGAACAACTTCTGCCCCTCATCTATAACTGTTTTCCTACAGGTTTTAGCTTATTTTTTTTCTTTCAGTAGGCTGTTGAATATTTACCACCAAAGCTGCTTACCCATTTGGGCATCTTTCCTGCTTGCGGGTCATGATGGTGAAACTGCAAAACCAGCACTGTTACCACCACAGACAGACCAACGATGACCATGATGCTGGCAAAATACTGAGCTGCAATTAAAAGGAGGACTTGATTAGGAGGTGAAGAAACAAACAAAAGGCACATAATATTCCTTGGCCATGCCCTGAGATCTACATTTGAAAAGCACTGTGTCACATCCAAACATCCTCTTCTCTGGTCTTCCATGCTGGACCATTTGAGTCCTTTGAGGTTTTCAGTGTATCTGTTCAGCTGCCTCCTCTCCAGTGAAGAAAGGGCTAGAACCAGTGGAAGGTGTAAACTGCTTGGTGTTTGTTCCCAGAGAGGGAGGTAGGGCCCTCCGCTAAGGACCTGCTACCTGCCTGCTGCCAGGACAGTGAGGACCTGAGCTGACCAGACCCACTGAACACCAGCATTCCCAGCCTTGGGTCACCCCATGGTACCAGCAGAGGTGCTGGAGGGAAATGCCATCCTCACGGTGTCACTGGATCCCTTCCCTCACCCAATGACTGCTCACAATGAGTTATGCATGGTTTTCAGCACAATTCTTGGCTCTCAAGACCACTTCTTTCTGTTCCTACAAAAGGACGCTACACTCTCGCTGAGTGATAAATTTGAGGCTGCTGTGCAAGGAAAGAAATCAAGATCTTGAAAGTCAGAAATGAAACTTGAAACCATGTCTCCTAAGTGGCAGTACATCTTTGTCATGCCAGGAGTGAGGCTGATGCACTGGAGTGTAAAAGGGAATTACCCACAGGGCTAATGACATTTGAAGGCTTCTGTGGCAAAATACCAGGGAGCATTACCATTGGCTGATAGGGTGGTATGATGTGAGAGAGCATGTGACACTGCCCTAGACTGCAGCCTCCTCCCAGCCCCAGCCCGCCCTCCTGCAGCTTGCAGGAAAAGTAAAAAATACAATACAGGCTCCAAGGCAAGTTTTTTCTGGCTCCATTTCTTAACACCACTTTCCACTGTCTCAGCAGCAAAAACCTTGTTCATAATAATGAGGTTTTAAGGCCTTCCTGAAACCAGCACTGCCGTTGCTTCAAGAGGCAGGCATAGCTTTCTGTGGCAAAATGAATTACACAGCTGGATTAGAAGAATAGTCCCGTGGGTTAGGTGAATTGAAAGGTCTCTGTTGCACTTACTCATGAAAGAACAGAGCCAACATCCACGCAGAAGCAGAGCAAACCATGAACTCAGGTTTTAGGAAAGCTGGAGAACCTGATTCCAGTATGCCCCATGAAATAGAAACAGCAGTTTTGCTATTACTTGTTTAATTACCACCATAAGTCACTAAATTCTTTCTGCAAATTCTAATAATTTTGATGCCACCAAACTTCAAAGGCCTGAAGTGGTCCATTGAGAATGGCTTTGGCTAGGATTATTCATAAATCCTTGGAAAATCTGTCACCTGGTTGAATATGGAATCATCTTGGTATTATCTGACTCAAGATGCCAGCCAGTGACTAGCAGAGAAATTCACACTCTCAGCTTTCTGTGGTATAAACCCAGGATCAGAGGTCAGGAAACTGCTATGAAGACCTGCCAGTAAACAGGGAAAACAGTTCTCTCCAGAACAGACTGGGAACTGTAGAGGGGCTGTGGACCCAAGAAGAAAGATGTTTTCTGGTTTTGCCTTGTGATAGGCAAAGACTGGGTGTGCATCAGCTGCATTTTGCAGGGGGCCCTTCTGTTCAAGGTACAATGACGTTTTCAGTTGGAAAGTAAGGATGGAGGAAATAGGACATGGTACTTCAGCCATGTGAAGTGTCGGGCAATCAAATGTCACAAGATGTGTGTGAAATGAGAACTGGCAGGTGGACTTATGCAGCCCAGGTGAGTGCAAGTGCTGTATTAATTTCAGGGGGAGAAAGCCCCAAAGTTCTGGCGCTCTCCTACTCTAGGGCTGGTTTTGCCAGCCCTGAAGAACCAGCAGTGAAAGGGGAGGAAGGAAGTACCAATGGCTGGCACACCTGTCATGTTAACCTTTCACATCTCTAGTTGGAGATGTGATGAAAGCTGTTGCCTCGTTTCCTGTGGCAATACAAGGTAGAGCTAGCAGTCATTGTTCACAAAGGAACTGCTAGATCTTTTGCCCAGGGGTCTCTTTGATTGAAAACATGACTCTACTTGCAATCCAGACCCAGCATTGGGGCAGAGCCACAGGCAGAGATGGCCAAGGCCTAGCTGGGCCTGGGTTCAGTGCCGGTTCAACTGTCAGGGAAGGAAAGGCCCCAGAACTAAGCGGGTATGTCCATAAGGCAAAATGGTGCTGGCTCTGAAGCAGTATGCATACCCACTCAGCATTTCTTGATCCTTTCTTCCAGAGTTTAATCCTACATCCTCTCTTTCCTGGCAGTAGAAAAGCATGGTCATCCCGCTGCAGCCAGGAGAACTGGTGGGGAAGAATCCTGTACAGTCTCTCGTGCACATCCTAAAAGCATGGCTTAATACTCTTCCAGTCTGCTGGTTTGGCATCTCCGTTCCTGACCGTCTTTAGCCATTGCACCAGACAGATCAAACTGTCACTTGATGAAAGCCACAAGGGCTCCTGCCCCTTTTCAGCTCTAGCACCTCCTCTGATACAACTGTGACTCGACCTTCTCCAGCAATCCTGCAAGAAGAGGAGCTGCTGAAAGGATCAAGCTACAATATGCATAGATAACACTTTCCTTGGGGCCAAGGAACTGCAGTCTTCATTCACTCTACCCTATCCCCACACAGCTCTGAATTAGCGAACTCTATTTCTGGTCCTCCACTGATGTTGCTGAGCATGGAAACAGGATGCTCTCCTGTGAAATGTGGCACAGGAGACAAGTGGTGGAGTAATAGCTGAGCTTTGATTGACAAAACGGCAGCCACAGTCCAGCCACCAGACTTTTTCCACTAGTACTTTAGCGTTCATCCTGAAGGATACAGCACTTGCACAGTTAGGGTTTTGAAGCTGCCATTCACACAAAGTCCTACCCTCACATGTGTCTGTTGGCAGGGGTAAACGCAAATCTGATTTTACAAAGGATCTCAGCCCCTTTTATTTAAACTACAGAAAGGAAATGCTCAATAACTCTCACTAAGCGTCTCTGCTACTTCAGAGTTCCTGGCTACCAGGATGGGTCATATTGGAGGATTTAACAAATTACTTCACCATTGGCAGTGTCAGGAACAGCAATCCCAGACTAGGGTGCATTTGAAAGGCCTGGTTACTGTATGTCAGCTGCTCTGAGGAACAGCTGAGAAGTGACTAACCCCTTCTGGAGGCAAACTAGCTCATTTGCAGTCTCTGCCCTGGACAGCGGTCACAGGCCAGGAAAAGGGACCAGAAGACTTGTGTTTGGAGCCCCTCAATATCCCTGACTTACACAGCGACATTCCCCAAGGATGCTGAGAGCTGCACTCGTCTCCACTAGATGCTCTTCATGTGTTTTCAGACATGCATGCTGCCTTGTTCAGCTCATGTGTGTGAATGGAAAAGCTTCTCTGGGTGATTTGTTGATCTCTTTCAAGTAGTATGATGTATTTGCCCTTGTACAATTTATTTTCTTCCATCTCTTTGCCAAAGCAGGCATGATGTAACACATTACTTGGACAGCTGTTTTAACATCTGGGAGCTGTCAGCCTTTGTCTCAGCACTGTCAGAAGATGCTCAGGTACTGTTGTCATAGCAAATATAGATCTAATACAACCACAGAAAGTCAGAAAGTCTTTTTAAAAAAGCAGTGACAATACCTATTTGTTCTTGCAGACATCCTTTGGCATCACTGATACCAAAAGCATGACAATGACTTGCAATTCATAACCTGAGGGGCTTCCAGTACCATTTTTGGGCCTTCTATGCCATTATCTATTGTTAGAGAAGCACCATCGGCTTATTTTAGAGATGTTTTGGAAGATCTGCTTCTTGAGTGGAACAGGAGTAACTTTAAGCACTGATTACGAACTGCATAAATAAAACAGAAAACGCTAAGAGGAGCAAGATGATTCCAGATGGATGCTTTACCTTGTTGATTTTATCGCTGAACACTGACTGAGAAAGCAGTATATTATCCACATTTGTTAACATAGTTTATCATATGAAAGATAGAGCTTCTTCATTGTGACCAGTTACAGTCTTGCTGTTTCTATCAAATAGTGGAGGGAGGAGAAGAGTGTTGTGCTTGGGTATTCTCAGTTATCAAGTTGGATACCTTCCACTGGTGTTCCTGTTTGTATTCCTCCTTTGCAGGAAACTTCAGGTTTTGTGTGTGAAATTATGGAATAGTTTAGGGCTGCTCTAAGGTCATTTCAGTCATTCAGTGCTTCATGCTTTGTGCTTCTGGTGAAGTCTCAGAAAATGGGAGAAATATCCCAGATTACACACAGAATGAGATATTCATGACTTTTCCTTCCGGAAATGGTCCAAGGTAATGAACTGAAGCCTGTGGAGAATGCAGGAAACCTCAGACATCAGCAGAAGGACTTCCACCACTCTTCTTTTCTTCTATGGAAGGGACTAGGCCTGGTGCCAGGCAGGTGCAGATGCAGTCTACAGGGTGTGATGGCAGAGTTTCTCAGTGGCTGGGGAAACCAAAAGGTAGAGGAGAGATTCTCTTGCTGAATGATTTGCTGTTGTACACAGACAGCAAAGAAACCCAGAAGAGGATGTAGGCAGGAAAACAATTTCCACCACTGTTGAGATTTGCTGTAGCTGGGCCACGTTGTGCCGTCCATTAGCTCTCACTGACAGCAGAAAGTGAAGAGCATCATCTCAGTCCAGCTCATCCCTCCATAAACATGAAATGTCTTGAAAGAGTGAGAGACTTTAGGATTGGGCACTGTGTTTACCTTTCGGTAATGGTACTTGTGGAGGGCACAGGGGCAGTGTTTTCACAATATTTTCGAACTCTTCTCCTCCCACGTGCTTTTGAAGAATAGAACTGGGTGTCTGAAAAGTAAAACTGTTCTCTTTTTTTTAATAAAGGAGAAGCATCCGAGACTCATGACTTTGGAAGAAGCACCATTGATCATGGGGTATGAAATCGTGAGAGCTGCTGCAAATAAGAATTTCTGTTTCACAGAAGAGGCTGAG